CTGGCGGCCTTCGCTCGCAGCAGGGGCCTCTCGGCGGCAACTGGAGTCACCGACCTGGCGAAGTTCTACGAGCATGTCAGTCACGAGTAGCTGCGCGTGCAGGCGGTCGCCGCGGGCTTCCCGCTCGCGCTGCTGCGGTGCTACTGCGTGTCGTACTGTACGCAACGGTGCGTGTCGTGGTGCGGCTCAGTCTCCAAGCCGTTCGAGGCGAACGGCACCATTGTGGCGGGATGCAGTGGGGCGGCCGGACTGGCCAAGCTGCTGGTGCATACCCTCGTCGTGAAGATCATGCGTGAGAACCCTGTGGTTCGCCTGCAGAACGTCGTGGACGACGTTCTGCTGCAGGCGGTCGGCGGCGAGGCTCAGGTGGTGCAGCAGCTACCCAGGGCCATGGCTGCCCTCATCGAGGGCCTGGTCGCCAAGGGGCTGGTCATCTCGGAGGCGAAGACGGGCTACCTGGTGAACAGCGAGGACCTGGGCGACGCGCTGGACGGCTGCTGGGCGCACGGGCCGCTGGCCCGCTGGACAGGAGCCCGCTGCCTGGGCGGAGACGCCACCGACGGGCGCTGGAGGCGCGTGGGCGAGCAGGACGCGCGGCTTGGCCGCGCGGCGGCGGTCAGTGCGCGGGCGCGCCTGCTGCGCGGCGCTGGTGCGCGGGTGGGCCACATCCAGAGGGGGAGCCCCACTGCCACCGCTGTCTGGGGCTCCGCCGTGACGGGCCTCGCCTGCGGGAAGCTGCACGGCCTGCGGGTCGCCGCCATGCGCGCGGAGGGCAAGCTGCCCATGGGCGCCAGCGTTGGCCTGCGGCTGCGGGCCCAGCAAGGCGCCGCCTACCGAGACCCCTTCGTGGTGCACGCGGTGGAGGTGGCACGCTCCTGGGGCATGACGCTGGAGACGGGCCTGCCCAGTGCCGCGGTGGTGCAGGAGTGCTGGCGCGGGGCGCAAGGCCTGCTGGAGCTGCGCCGCCCCTGGGGGCAGTGCCGTGACACTGCGCAGGCGTGTGCACTGGCTCTGAGGCGGGTCGGCTGCGAGATGGTGGCCTTCAATGCCGTCATCGATTGGCAGGCGCGGTTCTTCTCGCCAGGCATGCTGGTGCAGGTGGTGCGCGCGTCGGCGCTGCTGGCCTCGGATGTGCTCGCGCTGCAGCGGTTGCGCGGGCCTGGCGCCTGGGCATGGCCTGTGAGCTGGAAGGGGCTGGAGCGCCTCTTCCGCGTGAGCCGCCGCCTCGAGGAGCAGGCCTCCGCTGAGGCCGCCCCTGGCTCAGGCCGCCAGGGGCCCGCGCGGCCGCCGCCGCTCTGGCAGGCCCGTCACAGGCGCGCGCTCGCGGCGGTCCTCGGCGGCTCCCACTGGCCGCAGGAGCGGCTCTGGAAGGAGGGCAAGGCGCTCGACGGCCGCTGCTGCCTGTGTGGAGGCAGAGGCGCGCTGTGGCACAGGGCCTTCGAGTGCGACGCCTGGCAGCCGCTGCGGAGGGAGGCGTGCTCGCCCGAGCTGCTGGAAGGGGCAAGGCTGGTGGCGCAGCGCGGGGGTGCCGCGGCGGAGCTCTTCGCGCGTGCGCTCTGCCCCGACCCTGCCCTTGCCTTCCCCACGGCGGCAGACGCTGCGCTCGCGGCCCCGCGCTGGTTCGGCGTGCCGCCAGGCTCGAAGTTCGCGGGCAGGGTCTTCGTGGATGGCAGCGCCAGGTTCCCCGCGCTGCGAGGGGCACGCCGCGCTGGCTGGGCCGTGGTGCAGATCGGCCTCGGCGGGGAAGTCATCGGCGGGATGCACGGCATCGTCCCGTGGAGGTACGGACCCGAGCAGGAGGCCAGGGACGGCGAGGACTACGCGTTCCACATGCCGGCCCAGCACTGGCAGGCGTCGGACGACGGCGCGGGCCTCGAGGTCTTCTGCGACTGTGCTGGCACGGTCGGCCTGGCGCTTTCGCGGGGCAAGGCCCTCGCGCCGCTGCAGGCGCGCCGCCATCTGCGGCAGGAGCGGTGGGCGGGGCCTGGCCTGACGGCCACAGCGCGCAAGGTCAAGGCTCACAAGGCGCTTGCCGCGGCGTCCAGCTGGGAGGAGAAGCTCATGATCAAGGGCAACAGGGCAGCCGACCTGTGGGCCAAGAGGGGCGCCGCCCTGTGGCCGATCGACGAGGAGCTGGTCTGGTTCCTCCGGGCGTGCGCCTGGCGTGCGGAGGAGCTCGGGCGCTGGATCGGCGAGCTGGCCGCCGCCATGGTGGACCACGAGAAGCTGGACTCCGACGGGGTGGTAGGCACGGCCGACCTCGTCTACGACATCCCGCAGGAGGCGCTGGACGCGGCGGAGCAGGCCGACGAGGAGGTGGCGGCGGCGGCGCTCGAGGCCGAGCTCGTGCATGGCCAGGCTCCTGCTGCTGGTGCTGGGGCTGCTGCTGGCGCGGAGCTCGGCCAGCCACCCGACGCCGCCGCCGAGGCCGCCGCCGTCGAGCTCGAGGACGCTGCGGCAGCCGCCCCCGAGCTGCAGGCAGCTGTGGCAGGAGCAGGCGCGGCGCGGGAGGTGCGAGGGCACTGCATCGTCGTCTCTCGCCTGGAGAACGGCGACGGGGCCACGGCCTGGTGCCTGAAGTGTGGCTGCCGCTTCGCGAAGAGGTCCCCTCCTGCAGGGACTGGCCTGCTGGGCAGCTGCAAGGGGCGACCTGCCCCTGTCGAGCGGGCGGCAGAGGCGAGGTGGCTCCTGATGCGGCTCCAGGAGCCGAAGAGCAAGGTGCGGCTCCTCGCCCCGCAGGCGCCCACGGCCGAGGAACAGGCGCGGCTCGCGGCGGTGCTCCGAGGAGGCGCTGGCGAGGCAGGCGGCGCTGGGGCCCCCGCTGGGGCTGGGCGGCCGCCGCGCTGGGGGCTGCGGCCAGCCGTGGCGGATGCCTGGCAGGCGGCCGCGCTCCACGGCTTCGCTTCGCCCGCCGCCGCGGCGCGCTGGGCGCAGGCGCGCGTGGAGGCGGGCTGGGAGTCGCCCTTCGGTGACGGTGGCGCGGCGTGACCGCGCTTCGACGGCACCTGGTTTGGCCCGCGGGCAGGGCGCCAGGGGGCCGAACGGACAAATTGCCAAAAATGGCCTCCTCCTCCTCCTCCTCCGTTTCCTGCTCTTCCTCCTAGTCTTCCTTCGGGTGTGCCTTGGGGTTTCCTATCGGGACCTCCAGAGGGTGTCTCGTGGCGGCCTCTCGGAGCCGTCTCAGGGCCCCGTCGGGCTTCGGGGGACACCGGGGGCCTGCTGGGGGAGGTGCTGGGGTCTTCGGGGGCCATTTTGTGGGAGAGGGTTCCTCTCCTCCTCCTCCACCTCCTCCTCCTCGTCGTCGAGAGTGAAGATCGATGGTTCTGCGAGGCCTCCGGGCCTCGCCCATCCGCCCTCCGCCGTCCCGTCGCCCCCCCCCTCCCTCCTCCCTATCCTCCTCCCTCTGTCCTCCCTCTGTCCTCCTCCCTCCTCCCTCCCTCTGTCCTCCTCCCTCCTCCCTGCGTTCCTGGGGTCCCTGCGAGCTCCCCATCGTTGGCCTCTCTTGGGCCCCTCGTGGGGCTCTCTTCGGGGCCGCGGTGGATTTGGAGGCTTCGAGGGCCCCGGAGGTGAGTTGGCGAGCTCGTCCCCCCCCCTCCCTTCGGGGGCACCCAAACGGGGTGGTGACCACACCGTGTGGTGAGTCGGTGGGGATTCGCGGTCACCGCACGGTTTTGGGTCTCGAGGTCTTCTCCGAGGATGTCTCGGGCGACCGGGGCTTCCGGGGTCCCAAAACCGAGCTCGCCCCCCTCCCTCCCCGCGCCCTGTCCTATCCTGGGATTTTGGACCCCAGAAGAGGAGGAGGAAAAGGGGGAGGGGACTGCCAAGTGTACCACACACACACACATCTTCACCCCCGAGCAGCGCGGTTCGGCGGGATCTTGCAAACCGCCCTCACCCTTGTCCCAGTTTGGCCCCTTGTCCTCGTCCTCCTCGTCGCCCCCGTGCTCGTTATCGTCTTCTCCGTCGCTCTCGTCCACAAGCGCCTGCCGCGCCCCGCCGGCCCTGGCCCCCTGCCTGCTCCGTTCCGCCTCGTCCGGGCGGGGCCAGGGCAAGGACCATCGGCTCCAGTGCGCTCCGGGGCCCTCGCAGAGCGCTCCGCGCTCTGAGAGGGCCGCGGCGACCGACACATCCTCAGGGGATGCCCGATGTATTCCCGTCCGAGTTTGTCCCTGGCCTGACTTCGTTTCACTCGTCGCTGCCACCTCGCGTGGCGCTGGCAGTTTTGCCTTGCCTTCTCCCCTCCGCGCTTCTGCTTCGCAGACGGGCGCTCCATGCTCTGCTCCTCATCGTGAGGCATTCCGTTTCCCGTCTCTCGTTGCGACGTTCGCGAAGTGTTGCCGATCGCGCCTTCGTCTGCCCACGCGTCCTTCAAGGTGCTTGGCTCTGTGGTGGCGGTGGTGGTGGCCGGCCGCCTGGCCGTTGCCCACTCCATGACGGGACCAGAACTAAGTCGGGCACGTCCCCCTACAGGCAGATTTTCGACGAAAGATCAGAAATGTCCAAAACAGATTCAAACATGATCGAGCACATCCTCAAAACATCGTCCCCTGATTTGTTTTTGACTATGTTTGAAAATTCCCCCTTTAGAGGGACAGGCCCGACTTGAGACTGGGACGAGGACGAATCCCTTCCAGAGCCTTCCGCCACGCTTTCAGAGCCTTCCTGGAACGATCGCAGAAGCCCGCGGCGCCGGAGACATCCTCCAGAGCCGCCAGATTTCAGAGATTCTCGGTGTATCCTCGCCCGACGTTATGAGGGGAACGAACAATGACATTAAACATTCAAATTCGGAGGTCCGCGCGGATTTCTCGGATCCGCGCTGGACCCCCCTCCCTGGCGCGCGGAGCGCGCCAGGGGTTGCGCCGGAGGCGCCGCCAGGGGGCGCTAGCGCCGATGCAAGAAATCCGCGCGGACCTCCGAGCTTTTTGATTTTTCCATTGTTCGTTCCCCTAGTTATATTCGTCCTGGCTGCGGCTTACCCTCCGCACCCCGCTTCCGAGGGCGCAAGTGGCGCAGGGCGATGAGGAGCTGCGGCTTCTGAGGGGCGAGCTGTCGGCGGCCACAGAGGACGGCGGGAGAGCGCCTTCTCCTCCGCCTGTTCCTCTTCCTCCTCCTCCTCCGCCTTCTCCTTCGCCTGCTCCTCCTCCTCCTCCTCGAGCACATAACGCGCGTCACGTGGCCTCACACCCAGAGCGCCAGTTTCTCAGCGCACAAGAACTGCCGTTTGTAATGCGCGCGCAACGCGCTTGCAGTGTGCGCAGACACGTGCTTGTGGTATGTAGAGGCGCGTGGCACATACAGGCTATTGTGGTACCAGCACAGGCGCGCTTGCTCCTCCTCCTCCTCCTCCTCCTCCTCCTCCTCATCATCATCATCATCCGCACAGGCAGGGAGGGGATCTGCCGCCAGCGTCTGCGACCCATCGCCCTACCCCTGCGGGTCCGATCGACGCTGGAGCATCGGACACCTCCGCTGGGGTTCGCTTGAGCAACGCAAGAAAACGTGGTCGTTTTCTCCGACATTCGGGCGTCAGCTGACCACGTAGTGTCGCGCGTGAGCGCCCTGGTCTCCAGTGTGGCGTGCCGCGCTGGCGGCCCGCGTAAGCCGTGGCGTAAGGTCGCTGTGTCACTTCCTGTAAGACCCGTTTCTTTTCGTCGACCCTTTGGTTCCAGGCATGCCTCGAATTCTGGACCCTGCCCGGCGTTTCAGAACTCTGACTTTCAGGGGCAGTGTTCGTATGTGGTTGCCCGCGGCGGAAGTCGGACTTCCGCTGCAGGCAACAGCATACGCCGAACAGACTGTCCGAAGTGCAACCGCAACCCAGAGCACCACAGAACTCAGAGCACCACGCAATCACAACACAGCACCACAACCCCAACCGAACAGCTAATTTTGAGCTGGGCATGTCTCTCTACGGGATGAGCACCCAAGACTCGTAGGAACACAGCCTGGGGACGATGCTTCGTGCTCCTTCGACTCCCTTTTTGACCATGTTTGGACTATTTGTCAGTTTTCGTCCAAGATCCGCCTGTAGGAGGACGTACCCGACCTAGAGCTCATTCCCACGACCCAGAGCACCGCACAGACGGTCCTGGCATGAAGGGCAGACGAGGAGGAGAGGATGAGGAGGAGGAGGAGGAGGAGGAGGAGGAGGAGGAGGAGGAGGAGGAGGAGGAGGAGGAGGAGGAGGAGGAGGAGGAGGAGGGGAGAGGAGGAGGGAGGAGGAGGAGAGAGAGGAGGAGGGAGGAGGAGGAGGAGGAGGAGGAGGAGGAGGAGGAGGAGGAGGAGGAGGAGGAGGAGGAGGAGGAGGAGGAGGGGAGGAGGAGGAGGAGGAGAGGAGGAGGAGGAGGAGGAGGAGGGAGGAGGAGGAGGAGGAGGAGGGAGGAGGAGGAGGATGAGAAGGAGGAGGGGGGGGAGAGGCGGAGGAAGAGGAGGAGGAGGAGGAGGAGGAGGAGGAGGAGGAGCAGGGGAAGGAGGGGACGACGTCGGACTCCGACGAGGGCAGACGGTCTGCCCTCGCCCTCGTCGGTGGGTCTGGAGTCTGCGCGGGAAGCCTTCGGGCTGCGCGCGGACAGCCCCCCTCGGGCAGTCCTGACCGGCATCGGTAGGCCAGGAGCGCCGCCTCCTCCTCCTCGTCCTCCTCCTCGTCCTCGTCCTCGTCCTCCCTCCTCCTCCTCCTCCTCCTCCTCCTCCTCCTCCTCCTCCTCCTCCTCCTCCTCCTCCTCCTCCTCCTCCCTCCTCCTCCTCTCCTCCTCCTCCTCCTCCTCCTCCTCCTCCTCCTCCTCCTCCTCCTCCTCCTCCTCCCCCTCCTCCTCCTCCTCCTCCTCCTCCTCCTCCTCCTCCTCCTCCTACTTCTCCTCCTCCTTCTGGGGACGCGCATCGTCAAACCGAGTGATTTTCCGCCAGGCTACCCTGAGTGTCTTCGCTGCGCGCACTGAGCCGTGATTCCCTCCGCGGCCGCGGATGGGCTCTGCTGCGACCGGGGTGCGTTGGATTCCCCTCCGCCTGCGTCTCGCGCTCGCTGGTTGTTGGGGCCAGGTTTCCTGCGAGGGTTTTTTTGCGGCCGCGAGCGCACTGTATGATCATGGGACAGCGGAGCTTCAGGCAGTTCCCGAGCGAGGCCGCATCTGGCGTGCATGCGAGCATGTGGGTGTGGTGTCCATTGCTCGTCTGGATGTGCCATCAGATCTCTGGAACCACGGGCAGCTCGTCTGCCTTGGATGGGGCTTGAGACTCTGGGTATGTCCTTCGGCTTTTAAAGACGGCGCTCCTGGTTCACCTAGGCGCGCAGGCTTGCCTATTCCTGGTTTCCTTACCGTAAGGCTTCGACTGTATGGCTCGTTGTTGCTGAGCAGCGCGACGCCACCATCGCCAACGGGCCGCATCCAGGAAGGAGGTCTGCGGTGTCTCCCCGAGCTCTGCGGTGTCTCCCCAAGCTGGAGACTGGACATGTCCCGAGGGGTCCGCACCACTAAGAAGGTTCCGTTTGGGGGGATATGCTCAGGGGGGAACGCGTCGATACCCAATCTCCCACTCATGCTCGCCCCGCCCATGAGCGTGCGGATTCGCTATCGGGGGCCTGTCGCCAATCCGTTGGCGATGTATCGCCCATTCCTGCTCGATTTCTCTTCCCCTCCGAGCTTGCTCGACCTTACCGTTGCCCCCAGGCCCCTGTGCCGCGGTACCATCGATGTGGGGCGTGTTCGCAGATGCCCCGCGCGGAGCGTGAACGCCGGTCGTTGAAAGTTGGTATTTTTGGGCTCCCAGATCCCAACCTCCTTTTTAGGCGTCTTCCTACGCCAAGCATCGGCTGGTTTCCTTCTGCCCCCCTCCTCTCGGGGCGGGCGGGAGCCCAGTCCACTTCCAACGCCCTCAGGAGGAGGAGGAGGAGGAGGAGGAGGAGGAGGAGGAGGGAGGAGGAGGGAGGAGGAGGGAGGAGAGGAGGGAGGAGGGAGGGAGGAGGAGGAGGGAGGAGGAGGAGGAGGAGGAGGAGGAGGAGGAGGGGGAGGAGGAGGAGGAGGAGGAGGCTTTCAATTTCTACCCCCCTTCTTCCGACCGGCGTGTAGCCACACGACTGCAGATCCACGGGGTCACGCCCCGGAGGCCGGGGCACACGGGGGCCTGGCTGCGAACACGGTCGCCGCTCGTGAGAGGCCTCTTCGTGTGCCCCTCGCGGCGGCGGTGGCGCCCTGTTTTCAGGGGCGACGCAAGGGGGGGATTCGGCAGCAGATCATAGGGGCATGCTATGCCCTCTCCATTCCGTGGTTAGCGTAGCGCCAGTTCGCGTTCGTTAGCGTCAGTTGGCGTCGATCGGCGTCGACGTAGAACCGTTTGGCGTCGACCAGCGTCGCTGAGCGTCGATTCGCAAGAGCCGACAGAAGGGCATGGGAGGCTCCCACGAGCTGCCGCCGAAGGCTCAGGGGAGACCGCATCGACCCCAGTCACCCATGCATCGCCGACATGGGCCTGCTAGCCCACCGCCCACCCCGCCGAAAAAGATAAAATGCGTACCCCTCGGCCGTTGAACGTATGTGTTTTGGGATTCCCATATCCCAATCTACTTTGAGCGCCTTCCTACTTCAGTGATCGAGTGGCTTCACCTTTTCCGTTCTCCCGAGAGGGCGGACGGAACCCAATCCATTTTCAAAGCCTTGCTACTTCATGATTCTACCTACTTCTTCCGGCCGATGGGTATTCGCCATTTGGGGCCGATCGCCGATCTATCAGCGATGTGTCGCCGATTCGCGCTCGATGTTTCCTCCCTGAGCTTGTCTCCCTCTAGATGTTCCCCCTGGTGCAGACAGGTCGGACAGGCGGCGCGAAGGGGCGGACATCCGGAGGAGGGCCAGTCGAGCTTACGGGCGGCCCTCTCTGGTGTGTGCTCTGCTAGTCTAGGGCCTCTCCTCCTCCTTCTCCTCCTCTTCTCTCCTCCTCCTCCTCCTCCTCCTCCTCCTTCCTCCATCTCCTCTTGCTTCTCCTTCTCCTCCTCCTCCTTCTCCTCCTTCTCCTCTTCCTTCTCCTCCTCCTCCTCCTCCTCCCCCTCCCCCTCCCCCTCCTCCTCCTCCTCTCTCATCCTCTCTCATCCTCTCTTTCTCATCCTCTCTCCTGCTCCTCCTCCCGGAGGCTCCTGGCCGCCACGGCCGGGTCTCCGTCTCGGAGCCGCTGGTCAGGATGGGCCCCGGGAGGTGTCCAGGGTCCGGTCGTGAAGAGGTTCGGGCGGGTGGTGAGGGGGGGGCGACCCGAATTGCCCTCTTTCCCGGCGAGAACCATCGAGGACCATCCTGGACCACCGAGCAACAACAAAAAAAAGACACGCGCGAGACCGACCAAGGGATCGGGGAGTGGCCGCCCGAGGGGCGGCAAGGTGGGTGGGCGAAGGAGAGGGCCCCAATTGGGGCCCTTCCTGGGTGCCAGCAGGGGCCTCCAAGGGGCCCCATGTGGGTCCTTCTCTTCCCCCCCCCACGGGGCCCCATGTGGGTCCTCCTCCAAGGGGCCTACAAGGGGCCCCATGTGGGTCCTCCTCCTCCAAGGGGCCTCTTCACCCCCCATCTTGCCGTCCCTCGGACGTCCATTTCCCGTGCGTGTTTCGGTTTCGGGCGTGTTTTTCTGTGCTCGATGGTCCAGGATGGTCCTCGATGGTTCACGTCCGAGCGCCCGCCCGAGAGCCGCCGTCGTCTCCGCTGGCCCGGTCCTCTGGGGCGTGCCGCCCCTCGCGGCCGGGTGCCGCGGGAGGCGGCCCTCGTCGAGGGCACCGCGCCCCTCTGGGGGAGCCCCGCGGGGAGCTGCTTTTGGTGCGTGCACCGCGCAGCCGTGCCCGCCGAAGTCTGCGGGGCCGGCCGGACGGAGCCCCTGAGGCCGGCCCTCTTTCCCGGGAGGCTCCTCAGAAGCTGCGAGGGAGCCCCCCAGACCTTACCCCTCTCCCAGCCGACGTTTGGAAGAGGAGGAGGAGGTGGAGACTCTTGACGTCCCAGGAGGAGGAGGAGGAGGAGGAGGAGGAGGAGGAGGAGGGGGAGGAGGACAAGCTAGGTGCGCTCGCGTCATATCTGACATCCTACCCCTCCCTCCCATCCCTTACCATGGCGTAGATCCCCTCTCTACTCGCACAGTCGGATGTCGAGCAGGGCAATGATCCCGAAAGGGTACGCGATGCATTGTAGAGCACGGCATGGCATGGCGTAGAAGAGCACCGCAAAGCGTAGCATCAACCTAGCATTGCATTGCATGCCGTGGCATGGCACGGGAAATGACGCCAGCGCTGCAGCGGGAGCACGAGTCGGAACGAGCGGAAGCGCGGAAATGACGCCAGCGCTGCAGCGGGAGCACGATTCGGAACGAGCGGAAGCACGGAAATGAGGCCAGCGCTGCAGCGGGAGCACGATTCGGAACGAGCGGGGCCCGAAAATGAGGCCGGCGCCTCAGCGAGAGCAGCATTTTGGAAAACCATGTAGGCGAAAACCCAACTCCGGGGAATCCTGTGTGTAATAAAAAGTACGCGGGGGGGGGCTAATACTTTCAAACCGTCATCACGGGAAGAGGGAGAGTAGTATTCATACTGAGTAATTGTGTAGGAAGAGGAGGGGAGGCCGCGTTCGACGAACCTTGCAGCTATTCGGAATCAGGAGGAGGAAGAGACAGATGATGATGATGATGATGATGATGATGATGATGATGATGATGATGATGATGATGATGATGATGATGATGATGATGATGATGATGATGATGATGATGATGATGATGATGATGATGATGCTGATGCTGATGCTGATGCTGATGCTGATGCTGATGCTGATGCTGATGCTGATGCTGATGCTGATGCTGATGCTGATGAGGATGCGAGGACGAGGATGCTGATGCTGAGGAGGAAGGAGAGGCTGAGGATGGATGAGGATGAGGATGAGGATGCTGATGATGATGCTGATGCTGATGCTGATGCTGATGATGCTGATGGATGGATGAGAGATGATGGAGGAGGAGGGGAGGAGGACATTTTTGACAGTCCGTACGGCAGGAAGGAGAGGAGGATGATGATGATGTTGATGATGAGGAGGAGAAGGAGGAGGAGGAGGAGGAGGAGAGGGAGCATTTTGACGTCCTAGGAGGAAGGGAGGACGAGGAGGAGGAGGATGAGGAGGAGAGGAGCAGGAGGAGAATGACCAAGAGGAGGAGGAGAGGGAGAAGGAGGAGCAGGAGGAGGAGGACAACGAGGAGGAGGACGAGGAGGAGGAAGAGGAGACCAGGAGGAGGAGGAGGAGACGAGGACGAGGAGGAGGACGAGGAGGAGGAGGAGGAGAGGGAGAAGGAGGAGCAGGAGGAGGAGGAGGAGGAGGAGGAGGAGACCAGGATATTATGTTTGAAGACTTCACCGTCGCGGAGGCGCTGGTGGCCAGGGCCAGGGCTCTCTCGGGCGCCCCCTCGCGCACTGTGCGCCGCCGGCAGGACGCGCGCGCGGCGCGGGCCGAGGAGGCGCGGCTGGAGGCGGCCCGCGGGTCGCTCCCTCGTCGGGCGTGGTCACCTCCGCCTCCTCGTCGTCGTCCTCCTCCTCGTCCTCCTCGTCCTCTTCCCTTTCCTCCTCCTCCTCCTCCTCCTCCTCCTTCTCCTCTTCCTCCTCCTGGGGCGACAGACGTCTCCTCCTGAACCCCGTCCCAGTCCTCCTCCTCCTCCTCCTCCTGGGGCGACAGACGTCTCCTCCTCCACCCCCTCACAGTCCTCATCCTGTTCCTCCTCGTCCTCATTATTCTCGTCTTCTTTTCATCCTCTTCCTCCTCGCCCTGGGCCGTCAAACGTTGTGTTGTCCAGCCTCCAGCCCCGCCCCCTCCTCCTCCTCCTCCTCCTCCTCCTCCTTGTCCTTCTTCTCGTCTCCTCGTCTTCTCCTCCTGTGACGACAGACTTCTCCTGCTCGTTCTGCTTCTCCTCCTTCTCCTCGTCCTCCTCCTCGTCCTCCTGCTCTTCCTCCTGGGACGGCAAATGTCGTCTCCCCATACCGCCAAGTACCCTTGTTTTTCTCGGTGTTCCCATTTTAGGCCTCCCGGGAAGCCCTCGTCGCCACCGCTGCATTCGCCTCGAAATTCTGCTCAGAACGCACCCTGGGAGAGGTCCCCGGAGTAGCGGCATCCGTACTTTCTGGTACCAGATTTAGATTCGGTTCGGTTTCGGATTCCTAGTTGTTTTTCGGTTTCTCAATGGAGGCCGATTCGATTTCTCCCGACTTGGCTGCCGATTTCCGCCGATCCGATTAATTGTTGACGATTCGCGTATCCCCACCAGCCCCAGTTCCACCAGCAGCAGCTGCACCTCAGCCGCCGCTTCTGAGTGCTGGCCCGGCAGGCTTGCGCGTCGCTCAGTAGCTAATTTGGCTGGCCCGTGCCCCGGATCCCCTCTCGCCGCCTGCGCTTTCGCTTGCGGCTGCGACCAATGAAAGTATCCCCACCAGCCCATCCAGAAACGATGCCCAGGGGAGTTGAGATGATCAGGGAAGCGGGGGAGCTTGCAGAAAACAAATGGCGGGGGAATTTGTCACATACCCCAAGAGAGAGGGAGGATGGAGGAGGAATCGTCGGAAGTGGAGGAGGCAGAGGAGGAGGAGGAGGAGGAGGAGGAGGAGGAGGAGGCAGATGAGGAGGAGGAGAATGAGGAGAACGAGGAGGAGGATCTTGAGTAGGGCGAGGACGAGAAGGATGAGAGGGAGGAAAAGGAGGAGAAAGAGGAGAAGGAGGAGAAGGAGGATAAGGAGGAGGAGGGGAGGAGGAGGAAGGGGAGGGGTAGGAGGGAGGAGGAGGAGGAGGAGGAGGAGGAGGAGGAGGAGGTGGATGAGGAAAAGGAGGACGGCGAACCGAAGAGACAGAAGCTTCTTACATGCCTTTCGGAGATCCTCTTGAGTCTTTCTTGGGCGCCTGTTGGGAGCCTCTTGGAGGCCTCTTGGGCGCCGCATCTTGGGGCCGTCTGGGCGCCTCTTGGGGCGCTCTTGGGGCGGTCTTGGGTGATTGAGGGGCGCTTGGGGGGGCATCTTGGAGGACATCGATCAAAAAAGAGGGGAGCTTCAATTAGCCTCGCCCCTCGGGAGCTTCAACCATCGCCTCTTAGGGTGCTCTTGGAACGCTCTTGGGCGTTCTTGGGGCCGTCTTGGAGCTCTCTTGGACCCCTCTTGGAGCCCTCCTGGGCCATGTTGGGGCCATCTTGAGGCCTCGGATGGCCATCGGAAGCGGAAAGTCGAGAAAGCAAACATCATTGTTTGCCTTTTGGTTTTGGACAGATGTTGACATCTTCGGAGCTTCCTTGGAGGTCTCGGAAGCTTCTAGGAGACGTCTTGGAGTGTTCTTGGGCTTTCTTGGAGCATCTTTGGAGCCATCTTGAGCGATCTTGCGCTACTTTGACCTACTTTGGAGGTCGTCTTGGGCTCTCCGAGGACCTCTTGGAGCCATCTTGCCATCTTGGACGCCCCGACCGCTCGCGAAACGCCCCGTTCAGGTCTAGGGGGAGGGGGAGGGGGATGGGGTAAACCCCTCCCCGAAGGGGGAGAGGGAGGGGTGGAAAAGGAAACGCCTTCGACCACCTACGCCCAGAGGGCTTGTGGGATTTCGATCGCCGATCCGACCTATCGATTCGACTACGGGCTCTCCTGCTCGTCTGGGAGGGGCACGAGGTAACAACGAGGATACTGCCAATTGTTTTTGAATGCTCAGTGCTTGGACCCTGTTCTGTTCCTCATCATCATCCTCTTCGTCTTAGAGCCTCTGGGTTCGGGTGCGGATTCAATATCGGCCCATCGCCGATCTATCGACGATGTATCGCCGATTTCAGGTCGATGCATCCCCCCTTATGCCCTCCCCCCCTATTGTTGCCCCTCAAAACGTCCAAGAGGACCCGGAATCCCCGAATTGTCGCTCCAAGACGCCGAAGGTGGTCCAAGGCGGCCTCCGGGAGCCCCCACGACGGCCCAAGAGTCCCCCAAGAGGACTCTCAAGAGCGCCTCCAGAAGCAAAAATTGCCCCATTCCCCTTCGGAAAACGTACATGTTTACGATATTCGTATCTTCGGCTTCGACCGCGTCGAAGACGGCCCCAGGAACCCACAACATCGCCCCAAAACAGCCAAAGAAATTTCAAGAGGCCTCCAAGACAGCTCCAGAGGAGCCCTCGACTCTCCAGGAGGCCCCCAAGACGGTCCCAGAGGGCCACAGACAGCTCCCCGACAGAACACCGAGGAGTACCCAACCCGACATTTCCAGCCTTCCTGCCCAAAAGACACCCCAGAGGCCCCAAGAAACCTCCAAGAGCTTCCGAAAAAGCTCCCAAGCGGCCCCCAAGGGGCCGCCAGGAAGCCCCAGAAGGCTCCCAAGAGCCCTCTCCCCAGACGCCCTCAGGTACTCTGGCCGATCCCGAAGCTTCCGACAATTCTCGAGTCAAACAGCACGGACGAAACACCGGGCCTATGGAAGTTGTCGGGACCTCGGGGCCATTCTTGGGACCGCGCATCGAAGAAATCACGATGTCGGATCTCTGGATCAGGATGACAAGCCAGCCCCGTGGAAGGCGTCCGCAATTCCGGAGGCCGACGTGTAGCGAAAAACACACGGCGTCGGAAGACCGTCGCGGACCAATCCATCGAGGATCGGGTTTCGAGGGAGTTTTTGATTGCCTTCAGCCTCAAGGGGCCGTCCCTGGGCCCCAGGATCCCCGGAAACGGTTCTGGGGAAAAGAGCGGCACCGAACAGACCCCAGAAGGGGTCCAGGGACGCATTCGGAGCAGATTTCTATGTGTGGCCGCCGAGGTCGGCGTCGACGGCGTCGGTGCGACGGGACCCCGGGCGGGGACGGGGACCGCGGCGACATCCTGCCCTGATTCGGCCCACGCGGGCGCAGGAGCAAGAGGAGGAGGAGGATGGAGAAGCGGAGGTGGAGGAGGTGGAGGCGGAGAGGAGGGACAGAGAAGGGAAGAAGAGGAGGACGAGGAGGAGGAGGACAGCTCCAGACCGAGTCACTGTGTAGACGTCGTCGTCGTCGTCGACGTCATCGCCGCCGCGGTGGTGGCGGTCGTGATCGTCGTCGTCGTCGGCATCGTCGTCGTCGCCTTCGTCGTCACTGGTTGCCGCCCCTGTCGTCGTCGTCGTCGGTAATCACATGAGCGAAACCGAGATCGGCAAGACGTGGCGCAGCCGTGAATAGAACATAGGCGCGCGTGGTCTTAGTATAATGTATATATATATATACAATCGCTCATGTGTTTAGAAGTGTATGTGTACACGTGCGTCAGCGCGCGAGCCATATAAGCCATACATTTATACACGTAGACATACATGCATATACATATATACATATACATACATATATATATATATATATATATATATATATAAACATGTTCGAATCATATTCATGCGCGTATATAAGTATGTGCATGTAGATATGCCCCTGCTGGATGTGTCGGCATGACATACGTATATATATAACATACATGCATACACGCGTTTCAGTCTCACGACACTGCCAGCACATACATGCCTCTCTTCACCTCTTGGCATCACTGCCGAGCTGGATGTCGATGCGACCACTTGGTAGGGCTCACCACGAAGTCACCGATATCACCATCAATCAACCGAATCCTCCAACGATCTTACCAAACATCAATCGATCGGTCAGAGTACCTATCGGGCCCCACTACGATCCTGTAGTTGTCATTGTGAATCAACCGATGGATTCTGTTATCAACCGATCGATTATTATGCAGGTCCATCTGTAGGCGGTGCTAGCACCGAACAGTCCACGGGACGTCTTCCTGTGAACTTTTTATTTATTGTTTTGCCGATTGGCACGGGCCCTCGCAACCCCCCATCCCCCCCCCATGTAGTAGATCTGTGTTGTTTTTGTCGCCCATTTCGAGCGGGTGGAGGTTCCCCCGTAGGACGTACTGTTGCAAACAGTCGCGCCAATCAGGGGTCCGGAGCCAGACCCCCCCCCCTTCCTTCCTTTCCGCCAAATCTCGAAACGCCGAATGTGCAAACGTTCACCAGGGGCAACCACACGACAACCCACGGGGTAATCCATGGGACAACGCACGGGAAATTTAACAGGACAATTCATGAGGGATGACCCACGCGAACAACCCACGGGAACAACCCACGCGACAGCCACGGGACAACCACTGGGCAATTGCGGGACGACCCGCGGGGCAACCGCACGACAACCACGGAACAACCGCAGGACAATCACAAAACAACCATGTGACAACCAATAGACATGGGACATTCGCAGGACGACCGCGGAAGCATTTGGCCGCTGGAGATGCGAATTGATTGTTCCCGGCCCTGACAAGGCAAAGTATCGTTCGCTTTCACGTCGCTTCGCCCGCACGCACGCACGTCGCGCAGGACACGATCAAAAACCGAAGCCGTTTTTGGGGTAGGGCGATTACGTTCCATTTCGGCCCGACCACCCCACCTCCCGATGCTCTTCAGGACGTGTGTGAGCTCAATGTGTGTGTGTGTGTGTTCACCCGTTCAGCTCCACTGATAGCACGCAGCCTGTGTCGGCCCTCATTGCAACGCCTGCGTCGTATCGAAGGGGTCCGGTAAGCAAGTACACGTTGGCGCTGACACGCGTCGGCGGATCATTGAACGTGCGGCATAAAACGTGTGCGCGGGCAGCGCTGGCCGTGATTCACCGATCGCATTCCAGTACTCGCACAGTGCCTATTCGCAAACGTCAGGACGACAACATAAGCACAGGTTTGCCTCTATGGAATGGATTGTAGGTCCCCCGCGGCGGATCCAGGGCATTTGCGAGTGGTTACTTTGCGCGTAGTGGGCCGCACTTGCCTAGCTGGCCGTGCTGGGAGGGCAGTTGCAGCGCGAGGGGGGGTGCGGGGAGGCGCAGCTACAGCGCGAGGGCAGCTGCAGCGCGAGGGCAGCTGCAGCGCGAGGGCAGCTGCAGCGCGAGGGGCGAGCGAGGAGGCGCAGACGGGTGCGACCAGGCGCAGGCGGCACGGCGAGCAGCGGCAGGGGGGACGGGGGATGGCTGGGTGAGGACGGAGAGGCGGCGAACGAGGGGGGGGGGCTCAGCATGGCCGCGTAAAAAGGGTAAAGCAAACCGGGCAAGTTGGTGTTTGCAGGGTCGGGGCCCCGCGTGTGTCGCGTCCTGTGTGTACGTGTAAGGTGTGGATCGCGTGCGTCTGTGTTTTTGTTCGGCACCGGGGCCCATGCATGTGCTTTGGTAGGCGGGGAGGATTTTGGGCGCAGGCAAAGAACACCTTCACAATGTGAAGATAGGCGTGGTGCGTACCGCGCAACCGGCTAAGGTGAACTTGCGCCTTGATTGATTGAAAAGGGGCAGTCACGCTAGGTTTCGAAGGGGCCGAAATTCCCCAGCATGAAAGCATGGCAGAAGACAGAGACAAGATCGTTATTTTGTGGAGGGGGAGTCGACCGATCTAGGCGGTCCCCTTCCGCTGAGGGAAGACAGCATCAGGAAGGAGCGCGCGTGTGTGTGTATATATATATATATATAGTCGTCCCCGCCTTGCTGTGTTGCGTTCCCGTGTTGAGTAAAGCACCGTGGTCTCCACCTCTTTTCTCTCGCCTCCCCCCTCCTGCGCTTCTCCCTGGCTGGCTCCTCCCTGGGTGGCTGCGAGCTTCGCAGCCGCGGCCGCTTTCGCCGGCTCCTGGGAGGGCCATCGCGGTCGGGGGCCACGCGCACGCGGACGGGCGGGCGGACGGCACCTCGCTGCCCCTTGGGTAGCTTTACGTCGGTATTTTTGGGGCATTGTTGGGGTATTTTTGGGGTATGTTTGGGGTATGTTTCAATATTTTCGGGGGAGCGCAAGACCCGGGTTTGCCAGGACTCGGGTTCGCCATCGTTTTTTGACGACCGCGACTCGGATTTTGACGTGGAGGAGTTTTGTGGGATGTCTGCAGCGGGAGGCCTCGTCAAAATGCAGGCTCGGCCTCGTCATTTTTTTGACGACCTCGTCGGGGATTTCCGAGTCCCCCGTACCCGGGTCTTACGTCTCCCCGATATTTGTTTACCTTTGTGGTGGATTGTTTAGGTATTTTCTGATTTTTCGTCGAAAATCCCCCTGCAGGGGGGCAGGCCCGACAGAAGGGTAGCTGCGAGTTGCGCAATTGCTGCTCTCGTGGGTTCCTGAGAGCTCCAGCGGAGTCGGGGGCCACGCGCACCCAGACGGGACCTCGCTGCTCCCTGGCACGCTGCGAACTGCGCAAGCTGCTGCCGCTCCCGCGAGCTCCCGGGCTGTCCCGCGGCGTCGGGGGCCGCGCGGCTCCCGCCGAGGTCCTCGCTGCTCCCTGGGAGGCTACGGAGTGCGCCGTTCCCGCCACCTGCATGGGCTCCCGGGAGGCTCGGTGGAGGTGAGGACGGAGATCGGCGCGTGCTTCGCGGAGGTGCAGGTGCACGTAGGTGTGCCGCCGGGGCCCTCTCCCGCGTCGGGAGGCGGCCCGGGCTGAAGAGCTGGGCCTCAGGGGGGGGGGAGGGGCCCCGGCGTCCAGGACCCCCCGCCGAGCCCCAGGGCCCAGGGGTCAACCCAGGACCACCCTCTCGGGATGGAGGCCCCGGCCCAGGGCCACCCTCCCATCATCATCATCATCATCATCATCATCATCATCATCATCATCATCATCATCATCATCATCATCATCATCATCATCATCATCATCATCACCATCATCAACATCATCATCATCATCATCATCATCATCATCATCATCATCATCATCATCGTCATCGTCATCGTCATCGTCAGCATCATCATCATCATCATCATCATCAACATCATCATCATCCTCATCATCCTCATCCTCATCATCCTCATCATCCTCATCATCCTCATCATCCTCATCCTCTTCATCCTCATCATCCTCATCATCATCATCCTCACCATCCTCATCATCCTTATCATCATCATCCTCCTTCTCATCCTCCTCCTCCTCATCATCATCATTTTCATCATCATCATCATCATCATCATCATCATTATCATCATCATCGACATCATCATCATCATCACCATCATCATCTTCATCTTCATATTCATCTTCATCTTCATCACCATCACCATCACCATCATCACCATCATCATCATCATCATATCATCATCATCATCATCATCCTCATCCTCATCATCATCATCATCATCATCATCATCATCTTCACCATCATCCTTATGCCAAGGGGCACTGCGAGCAGGAAGCTCCTGTCCCCTTGCAGCCTCGTGGATCATCATCATCATCAGCATCATCAGCATCATCAGCATCACCACCATCACCATCACCATCACCACCATCATCATCACCATTACAACCATCGTCACCACCTTCATCATCATCATCATCATCATCATCAGCATCAGCATCATCTTCATCTTCATCATCATCACCACCACCAGCATCAGCATCATCGTAGACCTCAACATCCAAACCACGATCATCACTCGCAGCAACGGCAGCGGCAGCAGCAGAAGCAGCAGGGCCGCCCGCCCCGCGCCGCGCTCCCGCCGCGCCCCCCCTCTCTATTTGCCCGCGAGGCGGCCGCCCAACAGGACGCGCGGGACGAGGACGCGCTGTGGGGGCGCCTGCGCCGCAGCGAGGCGGCCTCGGCGTCGTCGTCGGGCGCCGGCCATGGGGCGAGGCGCGGGGCCGGCAGTGATTTTCGGCGGCGAGCGCGAGAGCGGGGGCTAAGCGGGAGCGAAAGCAGGCCGCTTTTTCCAGCCGCGGGAGGCTCGTCGGCAGCTCTGCGCCCCGCCGAGGGCGTGCTGGGGATCTGTACACCTGGAGCGTGCCGGGCGGCCGCCAGAGGCCCGAGCTGTGCCCCCGGAGGCCAAGTTCGGCGGCGCGCCCGGGGGGGGGAGGTGGGGAGGAGGGGAGGCCTTCTCAGAAGGCGGTGGGGCTTCTGAGAATCTGCACGAACGAAATGGGCGCGGAAGGAATGGGCACAGTACCCAACAGCGGGTCTTCTTCATTCTGGACAGGACTCGCTGTCCACGCCGCCGCGGCCCGTTTCCACTCGAGGCAGGAGGCCGCCTGCCCAACAGCGGCCGCCGTTGGTTTGGGGCAGCATTTGTTGTTGGGCATTGTGCCCATTCTTTCCTTACCCATTTCGGGCGTCCAAGCAGAAGGCTTCCTGCCTTCTGGGAGGTCTCGTTTCGCCGATCCCCGTCCCCGCCCCCATCCCCCGCGAGGACCCCCGGCAAGCCACCCCCCCCCCCCCGGTTGGGGAGGCGCCCCTCGAGGCCCGATCGGGGGCGGCCCACGGCCCCGTCTCGGGGGGGCAGGTCGGCCAGCGGGGCCCAGGCCACGCCGCCGGGGATGGGGATCGGTTGCGCGATGCGCAGGGGCCCTGACCTTCCAGAGAGCTATTTTTTAGCACTGGAGTCCTAAAAACCTAAAAATCTAAACGAAACAGGCTAGAACCAAGACGTAGAATAGCTCTGGTCAGGGGGTGGGCGGGGCACGAGGCCAGCAACGACTCGGCGGCGAGCGAGCGGGGGGAGGTGGGAGCGAGGAGGCCTCCGGAGGGGCATCTCCGGAGGCCTCCGGCCTCCGGCCTGCCGAGAGGTTTTGTTGTGCCTTCGGGGGAGGCTCAGAAAGCTTCTCGGAAGGCCCTCTGAGAGGTTGTCCTGTGCCCTCGGGGGATGCCATGCCTAGAAGACTTCTCAGGAGGCTGGGGGACTTCCGAGCCTTCTGAGAAGGCCCGCCCCTTCTCGCTTCCCCCACGGGCTCGCCGCCGAGTGCGGGGGGGCACGAGGTCATGACGATGATACGCGAAGGACGTACGGGTGCACGAATCGACGTTGGTTTCGAGAGTACGCATTGCGCGAACGTTCGTATCACGAGGCTGGTCTCGTGGACTGGGGGCGACGTTGATGTACGTGGTTGGACGCCGATGTCCTCTGTGAGATCCTTGTAGGAGCCGGCTTGGGGTCTGAGGTAGCCCAGATAGTTCTGGCCAGGAAGAAGAGGGGCGGGTTCGAGGTTTTGGGTCCGAGAGGGTGTTCCGCGTTCTTCTGCCTCTGAGAGCCGCTCTCGGGCCTCGGGACCGTCAAGAACGGACCTGGGGTGAAACATTGTCTTGTCATCTCTACACCTTAGGCGATGCTTAAGAAAACCTAAGTTTTCGTCCAGAATCTCGATTATTCTTAACTTTCCAATGTAAATCCCAAGATTTTGATAGAAGTTCTGGGTTTTATTCAATTTCTGAGAATATGAATTTCTTAACCCATGATTTCTTAAGCATTTCGCAGGGTGTAGGCCTCCCAGATGGGTTCGGAGCAGACGGGGCTGGAGCACGCCGATGCATCGGCGATTCGGCCCGATGTGGAGCCCCGTTTTCTCCACGCCGACGGCGCCGATGCATCGACGATGCCGCGCGATCCCCCGACAGCGCCTTCTCGGACCCCCTCTACGAGGCCTCTGGTGGGGGTGTGAGCGAGGAGGAGGAGGAGGAGGAGGAGGAGGAGGAGGAGGAGGAGGAGGAGGAGGAGGAGGAGGAGGAGGAGGAGGAGGAGGAGGAGGAGAGGCCTATCGTGCGGGCTTGGGCGAGGAGGTGGAGTGGAGTTGGGCACACCTCAAGAATCGGGAGGCTCTTCGCCAGGGTGGCCAGGGCCTCGCCGTTGCGCACGCTGGGCTGTGTCTGCTCCGGGGTCCGTGAGAGAGAGCCTGCTGCGCCCAGGATGTTGTGGGCTCCCCCCCCAGTCTCCAGTCGGGCATGCCCCTCTACAGGAGGAACGGTCAAACCATAGCCCGGAGACGATGCTTCTCATTGTTGTGGAGCATGTTCGAGCAGTGTTTGAGAGTATTGTTCGGTTTTCGCCCAGATTCCGCCTGGAAGGGGACATGCCCGACCTAAGCCAAGGGCGCCCTCGAGGGCGCGAAGTTGTTCGCGCTTCGCGGTTCGGCTCCGATTCGTCCTCATCCTCCCCTTCTCTCCTGGGAGGCGGCGCGAGAGCGCGACGTTGTTCGCGCTTCGCGCTGCGCGCAGCCCGAAGCGCGAAGATGGGAGCCCTCGTGAGCCCAGTCGCACCTCGCACGCGGGTCTTCAGGCCTGGGTCTCGTGCGAGGGCCTCTTGCGGCCGCCGCGCCCGCCCCGTCTCGCCGAGGAGCACCGCGGTCGAGCGAGCACCCGCGGGCGGCGCGGGCGCTCCCCGGAGAGCCCGCGGCCGCACGTGGCCACGCGGGCCGGCCCCGTGCCAGACTCTGCACGGCCAAGCCTCGGTATCGTTTAAGCAGTCCCTAGCCTTAGGTCGGGCCTGTCCCCCCTACAGGGGGATTGTGGACGAAGAATACGACACATACTGGAAACATGCCCCAAAGGTGCCCAAAGTATACTCAATCAGAAAGTAGTCCCCAGACTATTTTTTGACTGTTTTTGGATATTCCCCCTGTAGAGGGACAGGCCCGACTTAACCCTAGCCCCATCCCCATCCCCTTCGAGACCCCCACCAAATCACCCCCCCCGTTGGGGGTACACCCCTCGAAGCCCGAAGGGAGCGACCTATGTCCCCATCTAAGGGGGGTAGATCGGCCAGTGGGGCCCAGGCCACGCCGCTGGGGATGGGGATCGGCGAACCGGTACTCATCAAACGGGGCCGGCTTGAAGTCGGATGTTTTCCACTCCGCGGTGACGGCCAGGCGGTGCCCCAGCCCTATTCGCTTGGCGGATGTCTCGGCGCCGGGCCACTCGCTTTCGCAACCCCCCCGCGCGGTAGTTGACAGGGGCCACCTCCCTACGGCAGGTTCGTGTCGTGTCGACTGGCGGCGACCCCGCCAGCGGCGTTCAACGTTGAACGCCGCGGGCGACCCAGAATCGTTCGGTGTGGAACGATTTGGACGTTTCGGAAATGGCCGATCGTTCAAGCTTGAACTATCCCCACGGAGTCAGAAACAAACGCCGAAGTCGGCACGACGTTCGTGTCGTGTCGACCGGCGGCGACCCCGCTGCCGGAGTTCAGCGTGGAATGCCGCCGACGGCCCAGAATCGGTCGATGCTGAGCTACCTGACGTTTCTGCAACGGCCGATCGTTCAAGGCTAATCTTAAGTCGGGCCTGTCCCTCTACAGGGGGAATGTTCAAAAATAGTCAACAAATAGTCTGGGGACGATTTTTTACTATTACAGACCATTCTGGAGCATTGTTTCAGTATTTTGAATTTTTCGTCCAAACCCCCCCTGTAGGGGGACACGCCCGGCTTAAGGCTCATCGATCCCCGCGGTGTCAGGAACCAAACGCCGGGGGTCGGCACGACACGAAGCTGCCGTGCGCACAGTACAGTGGACTTGGCATCGCTCGGACGTGTGCATGCTTCCTCCGGCGAGGACCATCGAGGAGCATCCTCGATCCTTTGGCGAAGAGACCACGCACGAAGCCGAAAAAAACACGGGGAATGGACGTCCGAGCGGTGGCGAGACAGTGGAGGGCGGCGGGTGGGGGCGGCCGCGGCGGCGGGGCGGCGGCGGCAGAGAGCGGCAGCCGCAGCGCCGCGCCCCGCCGCACCAAGGCGCGCCGCGCCGCGCTGGAGGCCGAGGCGCCTCGCCCGCGGCCGCGGCGGCGGCCACGACGGCGGCGCGGCGACAACTCAGGAGGGGAAAAACACACAGACACAGTGAATGATCGATTCCCCAGAAAAGATTGGAACACATGGGAAGTGGGGGGGAAGACAAAAACCACCCAGAAAGTATGGGAAAAGATGGGGAAGCTGGCTATCCGTGTGTATTTCTTTGTGTGTGTCCTTGGGCCCCTTCAACAGCGGCGACCGCGCGGCGGCCACGACTACAGTGAAGCCGGGCAAGTCCCTCTGCAGGAGCAAAAAGAAAAGTTGTGGGACGAGTTTTCGATACGTGTTGGCTTTTTGTACATATATATATGTGTATATATATATGTATATATGACTGCTTTTTGCTATTGTTGCTGCTGCTCGAAAAAATCTGCCTGTAGGAGGGCATGCCCGACCTGAGACATACAGCGGCGAGCCCGGACCCCCGACGATATGTCGTGAGACTGCGGCTCTCATTGCCTTCTTCCCTGCGCCCCCGCAATATTTTGTTTTTCCCTCCTTTCCCTTTTGTGCCTTCTCCCTCTACTCCTCTCGCTTGATTTGTGTCGGGCCTGTCCCTCTACAGGGGGAATCTTCCAAAATAGTAAAAAATAGTCGGGGGACGATTTTTCAGAATTGTTTCGATTATGTTGGGTGTGTGTTTTGAGTATTTGTTTTGTGTTTTGTCCAACATCCCCCTGTAGGGGGACAGGCCCGACCTAACCCTTCTGTTCTTTCTCCCTCTACCCCTCTCGCTTGTTTGGTGCTGCCGGCTCGGTTCGAGCCGGCTTGAGATTTTGTGGCTTCGGGCGTGGCAATTGGGAGCGCAAGAGGTGCCTTCCGCTCGACCCCATGGCGGGTTTCGCCGCCAGCCCTCGCTGCAGAGTTGACTTGGCCCTGGAGGCCCCCCGGCTCCGCAAGGGCAGCGGGCGTGCCGCGGGCGCGCCATGGGCCATGGCAGCAGATCGACGCAGCAGCCAGAGTCGAGACACAGAGAGTGACGGTGTCGGACGACGGCAAGTACCATTAAGTCGGGCTTGTCCCCCTACATGGGGATTCTCGACGAAAACTAAAAGATACCCCAAACATATTCAAAAAATAATCCAAAAATAGTCAGGGGACTATTTTTTCGTATTTGTCGACCTTTTTGGTGCATTTTTGGGGTATTTCTGTCGTTGAAGATCCCCTCTGTAGGGGGACACGCCCGACATAAACTACCGGGACATGATCACGGAGTGCAGGGACGTGCGCGATGACTCGCCCGCCGAGGACTGGGGCATCGCACGAGGGCAGGAGGCTGGCCACGGGCGGTGGCATCCTCGGGCCGGGCGCGTTGCCGCCCGGAGGAGGTTCCTCTTCGGATGGCGGCGCGCGGTGGCGGCGAGCTGCTGGCACGAGTGGGCTCGCAGGCGGCTCGCAGCTCAGCAGGGACCTCCGAGGCATACCGGGATGGGGCGGCTCGGCGACGAAGCGGCGGCGCCACCCAGACCCCCTCGAGTAGTGAAAAAATCATGACGGGCGGTTTTTCCTTCATGTTCGGCCTCCGGGGGCCCTCACCGGGCCTCGGGAGCGTCAAAAAACGACTCAGGATGCAAAGTCGGTCATGGGGAAAGGGTCGGGACCTCTGGGGGTCGACGTCATGAAAAAATCATGACGTCGGGGGTCTGGGCACCAGAAGGATGCCGCCCTGTGGACTGAAGGACTCAATCTGGACGTCTCGGGGAGCTGGGCGGCACGCGTGGTGGGGTGCCTGACGGGCGTGGCGAAGACGCTGGGCGAGTCCATCCCCACGGTCGAGCTGCGCGCGAAGCCTTGGACGTGGGTGCCAAACCCTCGCGAGGAAGGAGTTGCCGAGCTCGAGAGCGAAGACGACAATGAGGAGCCAGGCCATGGGGAGGAGTCCGACCCGATGGCTCGCATCAGTAGGCTGATGGAGGTGCTAGCGACCATGGGCATTGATGGACCGACGAGGTGCGGGCAGGTGATGACGTAGCTGACAAGCACCCGCACCGTCGTGCAGGAGAGGACTTGTATGTGTTGATGATCGGGTGCGGCCAAGCTCGTGGTCAGCTGGGCGAAGGAGACGCGCCATTGCCGCCGAGGACCCCTGGTTGGTGGCTGATAGAGAAGACGGGCCTGACGGACGCACAGAAGAGTATGCTGATGACCTCCACCAGCGGTAGCATGGAGTTGAAGGAAGTACTGCCGGCGATGTTGCGCGTATGTCTTTATCTGCACCTGACGGAGCGATGCAGCCCAGTGCGCGATTGCAGAAACACGAACAACTACAACAAACGGGGGGAAGTCCTGCTGAAGAGAAAGGTCTTTCGCGACGGAGGATCTCGGCCGCATAAGCCAGCTCGAGGGCGAGCCTGAAGCTCTAGCAGCGGAGCTCGACAGGTACGGCGGCGACAACGAAGACGACTGCGAGGACGCCCTCGCAGTCGTCTTCGTGGTCGCCGGCGACATCGAGGGTAGACGGCGACACCGAGGTGGACTGCGACGTCGAGGGACTGCTCGCGGCCGAGATGGAAGCGTGGTCGAGGATCTTGGAGGAAATTGAGAACGACCCCGAGCTGGCACAAGAGTTCGGCAACCTGGAGACTTGAGTTGAGTCTACACTTGGAGGTTTTTTTTATCACGGTGCGCGAAGGCATGATACGAAAGCATCGTCAGTTTGGCAAGGGCGGTGCAGACAGTTCGAGCTCCAGCAGGGGATATGACATTTCTAGGCACAGGCGGCAAGGGCAATGCGAGCGATAAGGCGAAGACGGCCTGCCACGCATGTGGACAGACCAGCCATTGGGCCGGAGACGCTTGCTGCCCGCAGGTGAAGGATTTGAAGGCTGAACAGGCGAAGGAGAGAAGCTAAAGCAGCGGACACAGCCCCAGGACCCGTACATGGTGGACCTCCCAGGAACGCGGGAGGGGAACGACGCCCTGCAGACTGACGCGTTCGAGGCCGTGGTCACCGAAGTCACAACAAAACGTTGGATTCAGCCTGCAACAGCTCGGCCTCTGGCAAGGCGTGCAGCGTGCAGATGGAGGATCGATGCAAAGAGGTGGGGGTCGCTAAGTATCAAGAAGGAAGAGCAGTTCCGGTCTTAGGGTTCGGGAGCGGCGAGAGCAGGCGCCCAGGGAAGAATGAGCGGTCCACATCACAGTCTCCAGCGTCGACGCCGACCTGACGTTCTCAGCGATCGTGGGTTCGGACGTGTTCGGGAACATGCGGTCGGGGGCCAGTGCAAACACGCCTCCCCCTCTTCCTCCTCCTCCCGAGTCAATAGACAATGCGCCCGATCAGCCCCGCACGTGGCTCGAGGAAGGAGGCCCTCCACGTTCGGGCCCGGGCAGGAGGAGGAGGAGGAGGAGGAGGAGGAGGAGGAGGACAGGAAAAGGAGGAGGAGGAGAAGGAGGAGGAGAAACATGAGGATGATGAGGAGGAGGAGGAGAAAGAGAAATAGGAGGGGGAGGAGGAGGAGGCGGAGGAGGAGCAGGAGGAGGTGGAGGAGGAGGAGGAGGAGGAGGAGGAGGAGGAGGAGGAGGAATGGAAGGAGGGGGAGGAGAAATGGGAGGAGGATGAGGAAGAAGAGAAGGACGAGGACGAGGACGAGGACGCGGAGGAGGAGGAGAAGGAGGAGGAGGAGGAGGAGGAGGAGGAAGAGGAGGTCCACACACGCAATTCGCAGCAGGCAGGGGGGGCAGCAGCGGCGGGAGGAGCAGGAGAGCCGAGGCGGGGTGTGGTGGGCAGGAGGAGGAGGAGCGGGAGGCGTGGGCGGGGGGAGCAGAGGGAGCGGCAGGAGTAGCCGGGGCACGAGCCAGCTCCAGCGTGGCGTGTGGAGGGGGAGGATCTCGGAGAAGGAGAAGACACCCATGGGGGCAGGGCGGAAGGGGGAGCATCACGACGCACTCCTCCTCCCCGTCCTCCTACTCCTCCTCCTCCTCCTGCTCCTCCTCCTCCTCCTCCTCCTCCTCCTCCTCCTCCTCCTCCTCCTCCTCCTCCTCCTTTTCTTTTCCTCTTCTTCCTCCTCCTCCTCCTTTATGTTTCCTCATCGTCTTCCTGCTCCTCCTCCTCCTCCTGCTCCTCCTCCTCCTTCTCCTCCTCCTCCTCCTCCAAGGCGCCCATGCCGCGGCCCTGCCCTCGTTCTCCTCCTTCTCAGGCACCCCGGGGGGCCCCGGTCGCCACCCCCCTGGATTCGCCTCGAGGTCCTGGTCCGCTCGCGCCCCGGGAGCGAGGTCCAGGGCGCGGCGACATCGGCGCCTGTCGGCTTCCCCAGGGTACAGGACGGAGGAGCGAGGCGGGGAGCTCGCAGGGCGCACGGGGGACGGATTGGGAGAGGAGGTGCCACGGTTGAGTCGGGCGTGTCCCCCTGCATGGGGGATCTTGGGATTTGGGAGTACACCCCAAATGCTCAAACATAATTTTAAACAACAAAGCGTCCCCAGACTATTTTTGTGACTATTCTGGAATATCCCCCCTGTAGAGGGACACGCCCGACTTAATACTACGGAGCAGAAGGTGGGGGGAGGAGGGAGGGGGGGGGCGCGGGAGATCGTACGGGAACGAGGGTCAGGCGATCGCAGACATGGATCGAGGGGGCGTGGGTTAGCGACGGGCCCCGCTCCCATGGGACAAATCACGGATCTCCGCCGCCGAACGACGCGGGCCGGGCGCATTTTTGGGGAGGGCACCTCCCCCGATCCACGGAGTTTGGCGACCGCGCGCCAAATCCGTGGATCGCCAATCCATGGAGGGTGAAGCCCCGCGGGGCAGCGGCCACCCTGTGCTGTGCGCCAGCCCCCCTCGGGGCGCATCGGCCATCGGCATGCTCCATACGCCTGCAGGCTTCAGTCGGGCGCGTGCCCCTCTACAGGAGGAATGTTCAAAGATAGTTCGAAATAGTATGGGGGCGAATGTTTGACTATGTTCTCGTTCGAGTCTTTGATGACTATCTTTGATTTTTCTTCCCGGATCCCCCATGCAGGAGGACGTGCCCGACCTAGCTGCAGGCGTATGGAGGAGGGAGGATGGTTGGGAGGGACATGCCGACTCAGGAGAAGGGTCTGCAACCGCAGTGTCGAGCAGGGGATCGACTAAGTGGTCGCCGCATCTGCAACCGGAGAGCCGAAGGCTCGTGGAGCTGCGACCCCTCGACGTGCTTTTTCGTCTGCAGGCTCGGCGAGCAAGTCAGTCCTGGGTTGCCGCGATTCTGGGGCCGATCACCTCCTCCTCCAGATAGAGGGGGGGGGAATGGCTGGAAGTCAGGCGGAGCACGGGAGTCAGGAGGAGGATCCGCAGCCGCAGTGGTGGCCTCTGCCTCCGCTGAGATCCGCGCGCCCCCCCCAGCGAGGCCGCGGCGCTGGGAGCGCGGCTGTCGCCGCGTCCTGAGGCCGCCGCCGCGGCGCTTGGGGCACCCCTCTGGGACGACGGCTGCCCTCGCGCCATCGCCGCGCGCGAACAAGGCAGCCGTGCGTCTATGGTTGGTGCAAAGGACGTCTCGCGCTCCCGCCGGAGCGCTCTTCGGCCAGATGTGTCTGCGACGGCGTGCATGCCATCGGGATGGCGGCAGCGAGCTCACTGGGAGCCTCCTGGTCTCGAGCTCGAGGCAGCACGCGCAGCAACAGTAGACAACTGGATACCCATGCCAAGAAACACCCTGCTTGCCTCCGGGGCGCCCTGGGTTTCGATGGTTTCGATGGTTTTGCGACGGAGAGCGCGACGCTCCCATACCAAAAATCCATGGACGTCCTGGGGTCTCAGGGTTGGGTCTCTTGTGAATGGTTTCTTGTGGTCGAGCTCCTTCTGTACTTTCTCGGCGCTCCGCGCGGGTGCCTTCGATCGGCGCCGGGGCCCGCCTCGGGAGGGCGGCGCCTCGGGCGCCGCCTCTGGCGCGCTCCGCGCGCCGGGGAGGATCCCACGACTTTCGTCGTCGCAGCGTCGAGGGAAGAAGCGCCTACGGCTGCCTTCGAGGGAGAAAAACGACCAGGGGAAAGCCGAATTGCCCACGAAGAAGTCCCGGGTGAAACTGCAGTTTTTCAGATTCAGAGTCTCCTCCGAAGTTGACTTGTCCAGGACGTCCCGAGCGAAACGGCTCGGCTGTTGGAGGCAATCGGAGCACGTGTCATTCATGCTTCCACGTGCGCCAGGATCCTGAGAGCGCGGATCACCTGTTTTTCCTTCGCCCCCAGGGAGAAGGGAGCCGCATGGAGTCGTTTCGCTCACTCCGCCTGCCCACTGCTCGCATCCCTGCTGCCAGCTGCTGGTGTGCTCGTGGCGAGCGGGAAGAGGGAGGGGAGGAGGAGGAGAAGGAGGAGGAGGAAGAAGAGGAGGAGGAGGAGGAGGAGGCGGAGGAGGCACCTCGATTGCTCCTCGGGGTCGCCGTCGCCCTCCTTCCCCTCGACCTCCGCCGTCTCGGTCCTGCGGGCAGGCGCCTCTCACCGAACTCTCCTGTGCCAGAGCTGGCCCGCTCTGCAGGCATGGCTCTCCGTATCTCGGGCCGGGCGAAAGGGGGGGCTTGGGGAAGGGGGGGGTACGAAATTTGCTGCATGCAGCTGGTTCCGGCCCCGCCGAGGGGCCCACTCCTCGATACACGGCCGCCTCCGGCGCCGGGAGGCGCCGGGAGAATCAGTTGCGCGAGCTGACTCTCAAACCCCCCTTTTGCTATCCCCCCCCTTTCGCCCGGCCCGAGCATCACCGCCGTGGGGCTGCTGTGGCTCGCCGGCGGCCGGCCCGCTGGCGCCGTCAAGGCTGCAGACGCGGGCATCCTCGAGCAGAGCGGCCCCGGCGTCGAGGCTCCCGTGGACGACCAGACCTTCACATCGCCGGCCGGCAGAGGTGACGCCCCAGACTCGAGCAGTGGCGAAGCGTCCTGGCTCGCCTATATCGGGGGAGCGTAAGACCCGGGTTTGCCGGGACTCGGGTTCGCCATCGTTTTTTGACGACCGCGACTCGGATTTTGACGAGGAGGAGTTTCGTGGGATGTCTGCAGCGGGAGGCCTCGTCAAAATGCAGGCTCGGCCTCGTCATTTTTTTGACGACCTCGTCGGGGATTTCCGAGTCCCCCGTACCCGGGTCTTACGTCTCCCCGACTATAGCCCTACCAAGCAATGTTCTAAGAACTGTTTGTGGCTCCCACGAAATGTTCTTAGAACAGTTCTGGCGGAGTCTGTCTTGTTTTATCACATCGGGTCAACGTTCTAAGAACCTTGTTTTCGTTCTTAGAACATGTTTGGGTTCTAAGAACATTTTGTGGTATGACTATAGGAATGCCGAGACGGTCGGTCCCTGCTCAAGTGGTTCCCCAGAGCCCTTCAGGAGGGGACAAAAAAAAACACAGACACAACTGATCGTCGATCCCCAGGAGAAGCTGTGGGAGAATATGGGAAGTATACTTCCCATATTCTCCCCCCCATATATGGGGGGGAGGACGAACATCCGAAGAATGTGGAAAAGTATGGGGAGTCCTGTCATTTTGTGTCTATTTTTTTGTGTGTCCCAGGGCCCCTTCACCCCTTCGGGTCATGAAAAGTAGCGACGTGAGGTTTTTCGCTGCTTTCGGCCCCGAAGGGCCCTTCTCGGGCACCGCCCGGGACAGTCCAAAAACACGTAATTGGTCCCGGGGAAAGGGTCGAGAACCTTGGGGGTCGACGTTGTGAAAAAGTCATGACGTCGGGACTCTGGGTCGGTGAGCGTTGCTCTTGTTCCTCCCCAGGGTTACGCTCGTCACCCAGGCCCCTCCCCGCCCCCCCCCAGGTAACGCTAACGATCGTGCAGTGCCGTCCTTAATGCATGCTCCGCGTGCGGATCATGTATTAAAGATGCAGGGAGTCAGCATTGAAAACAACGATGCGTTCATGCACAAAGGCATTCAGAAATTGATCCTGGATTGGGAATCTCATATTTCTAAAAAAAAAAAAAATCCCATGTCTGAAAAGCTGCCCCGTACTGCGGGGGGGGGGGGGCGCTGGACCTCCCCCCACCCTACATGCCGTGGTGCACCACTGCACACCGGCGATGGATGTGCCGGTGGCGCGGGCGCACCCTTGCGGGTGCCGGCCGCGGCCGCCGTTACCGTGCCCCTCCCGCCCGCATTTCCCCCACCCTGTGACCCAGACCCCCTCGGGTAATGAAAAAATCATGACTTTCTCCCACTCTTATGTAGTCCCAGCGCGTCCGATTCGAACGACTGGGAGAACATGGTCGAGATGTTGATTGAGCCAGTGAAGAGGACTCACGCGGTAGATGTATTTCGTTTCTTTGATCATGTGATTGGACAGTTGCCCGCCGAGGTGTCGCGGGTGTTTGAGATCCCGGCTCCGAATCAAGAGCAGCGCGGCGTCGATTGCGTGTCGAAAAAATCATGACGGGAGGTTTTTCCTAATTTTCGGCCTTTGGAGGCCCTGACTGGTCCTCGGGACCGTCAAAGAACGACTCGGGATGAAAAACCGGTCCCGGGGAATGGAGTGGGTCGAGATCTCTGGGGGTCGACGTCATGAAAAAATTATGACGTCGGGGGTCTGGGGATGCTTCAACCTGACTTTCGCCTTGATCACCAGGAAGATTTTCGAGCACCAAACATATGCCGAAACTCGAAGGTTTTCACGTGTCGGGCCCTGGGAGACCATCGCCCGACACTGCTTCGACGCTGTTCTGACACTCTTTCGGCCCTTCTCCAGGTGCTCGAACTTATTTCTGGGATGTGGTCCTTAAGTACGATGGGAGCAACATAACCCCCGCCCTTCCCCCGGGTAACGACCGTTACCCGGGAAACAAAAAAACGGTCCCTCGGGCAGGTCCAGGGCAGGGACGAAGCGTCCGAGAGAGTGCCCCGGAGCGCTCCCCAAGCGAGCGACCCAGGACGCTCCAAGAGGTGGCACGGAATAATCTCAGTTGCACAGACGTGACTTCTTTGAGCTCCCTGGGCGTGAGCGTGGGTGTGTCAGGAGGGGAAAAAACACACAGACACAATTAATCGGCGATTCCCAGAAAATATGGGAAAATATGGGAAGTGGGGGGGAAGACAAAAACCCAGAGAATATGGGAAAATATGGGGGATAATTTTATTTGTGTGTATTTATTTGTGTGTCCCAGTTCCCCTTCAGTGTGGGCGTTGGCCTGGGCCTGGGCGTGTGCGCGGGAGTGGGCGTGGATGCGGGCGTGGGAGCGGTTGGAATGAAGGAAGGGCCGGCCCCTGAACGGGGCGGCGCCTCTCCCCTCCGGAGCGCTGGCGGGAGGGGCGGCAGGCGCACAGGGACGGCAGGGCGGCGCGGAGGGGGAGGGCGCTGAGCAGGCGTCAAAGGGTGCGTGAGGGCGGGGTTGTCAGTGCGTGGCGCGCGGACTTCTTGGGTCTGCGCTAGGCCCCCCCGGCAGCGCTTGTTCGGCGCCGCCCCATGGCGCGCTCCGCGCGCCGGGGAGAGAGGGGGCACGGCGCCGACCTGAGAGAGCCAAGCTGCGGAGAGATGTTGCGTACACGCAGCTTCCTTTTCCCCTGCTGCGATATTCTAGTACACTAGAGTAGTAGAGGTAGTAGAGGTAGTAGTCGTAGTAGTAGTAGTAGTAGTAGTAGTCGTAGTAGTAGTAGTAGTAGTAGTAGTAGTAGTAGTAGTAGTCGTAGTCGTAGTCGTAGTCGTAGTCGTAGTCGTAGTAGTAGTAGTAGTAGTAGT